GACTGTGCTGCTATCAATTCAAGTACATACCAATTATAGTTATGGGCTTAGACACCTAATCCAACAGAACTAAGACCCTAATACCACATATAGATGTTCTACATCTAAACATACAATTATGCGTAACGGAAAACAAATAAATAATTCATATGTGTTCATGCAACGTAAAAGATCTAAGTTTCATGTTATTACTTCAACTATTATAAGAAATAAGAAAAATTACATTCCTCTTTTGAAGCCAATGCTCTCCTTGCCTAATATCTAGTTCTTTCCACATTACTTAGATGAAAGGACCCAAAGCAGAATCCCTTTAATGGTTGACATCCAAAAACACCAAAGAACAAAAATGAAAAAAACCCTAGGAATGAGGAGGCTATATCGAAAATTCTACAAACCATAGAAGGGTTAAGAACTTTTGTCCACCTTAGAGATATTAATGAGATAACAGAATTCTAGCAAGAAAGGAGCATCTAGGGTTTGATCACTAGCTCTCTATTTATAGGCTTTAGTTGCTTAGTCCCATGCTTAGTCCCAAAGCAGCTCTAAAACCCTAGATAATCCCTATCAATTTCCGTCCACCTCAATCATTTAGGGATTCTGAAATGTCCCACTTAATTAACATTCAACCCCTTGAATTAATTAATTTACAATTAATTCCAAAATAATTTCTAATTAATTTATGAAAACATGAAATATTAATAAACTAATTTTTCCTAAATTATTTTTGTCTTTTAATTGCTCAAATGAGTTTTGACAAAAACCCCAAAAGAACATGCTATTATTAGAAATATATCAATAGTTAATGACCTTGGACATTATTTACAACACTTTCAAGGAGAAGTTGCAAGTTCGACCATTGCCTTCAGAGTTTTTACCTTTTCATTTCAAGCAATTACATTTTTAAATACTTATTGGTGACCAAAAAAAATCACAAAAATAATAGCAGTTAAGGAATAAAATAATGTTGGGCTAAACACAAACTAAGATGTATTTATCGAAACTAAATGCATAGTAATAAAATGTATCCATATCAACCAAAATGACATGTTATCATAGACTGTCAGTGACCGCCATATGTCCAAATTTTTTTTGTTTTTTTGTTAAATATAATGACAAAAAATATCAGGATTAAAACAAAATAACACCATATAAATAATGAATTTTGTGTCATTAAACAATAAAATTCTTATATGCTACTTCAAAAAAGTTTGAGAACGAATTTGGGCTTTAAAATCGATTTTAAGGATAAGAACCATAGATTGGGCTTTTCAAGAAACAGAGTTGAAGTGAATTTTGGGATATCTGACAAAAAGAATTGAATGTAAAGTGTAAACTTACAATTTCCATTGAACAAAATATATTGGTGAAAATTTGAAAGCCATTTTGAATTTTTGAAACCGTTGACATGAGGTATAGAGAAAAAAATTCTTATCTTCATGCATTAGATTTCAAAAATCTCACACCAAAATATAATTTAGATTTCAATATAATTTCAACCATATTGAAAATTTCTTATTATCTTCATGGAAAAAAGTCAAAAACCCACATATGATTACACGTGTTATAGGTTTAAAACTTAATCGAAGTTCCACGTGGCGTGGTGGGGCCAAATTGGATTACACGTGTTATAGGTTTAAATATTACAAGTGCGAGGGTCTATTTTGGTAAAATTTCATAATAGAGATAGCAAAATGTAACATTGAAACATCTGTTGGCGCTCGCTAAAAAGTTTTCCATTTCTATTTTCCCTCGCTTTTATCTTCACTCTTTAGGGTTTTCAAAACCCCAAATCACTGCAATCACGCTTCATTTCATCCGATCAAAGATCATGGCGGTAAATCTTACCTCCGGCGCAATATCGATTCTAACGAGTGGGGAATCGAAGGATCTGAAACCGGTGCTTCAGGTGACGGATATTCGGTTGATTCGGACGCAAAATCCGAGTGGGGGTGGTGGAGAAAACAGTGGGGATAGATACAGGGTGCAGCTATCTGATGGTTCTTTTCACCAGCAAGGGATGCTTGCTACTCAGCGCAATGAGTTAGTCATCTCTCAACAGTTGCAGAAGGGTTCCGTTGTTCAGTTGACTGAGTTTGTTTGTAATACGATCCGTGAACGCCCGTAAGTGTTATATCTATTCTCAGCTCTGATTTGTTTGTGTTCGAAGAATTTTGTGCAAATATAATTGATTCCATGGATTTAAGATTTTTTTTTTCAATTATTATTAGGGTTTTATGATAAAAGTGTCTTTCTTTTCCTTGTTCCTCTGACCAAGTTGTCATATACTGCATGTCAATTTCATAGTTTTATTGTTAGGGAACTGCAATCAATCATTCTATTGCGATATGGATCAAGTCCTCAGCGATTCACAACTCAGATCATACGATTTGGTTTCTTCTTGAAGCTAATGATATGAATCACATTAATGATTAACCTTCTATTTGTATCATCTTTGCATTTCCCATGTGCATACAAGTTCTTGCCTATCTTTCACAATTATTGTATAATTCTTTCACAGTTATACTCATATCTCTTCAACTTATTTTGTGCAGTATTATCATCATCATCAATCTCAATGTGATTATGGAAAAGTGTGATACCATTGGTGATCCAAAGCCATTCCCTCTAAAACTCCCTGGTGGAGATACTCCTTCACTGACAAGACCTTTACCACCTACACAATCTCCTTCCAATCAACCACCAACAACTGTCAATGACACCCGATTTTCCAACCAAGCTCCGCCTCCTGGACCTGTTATTCGCCCACATGCCAATTCTTATGGCCCTCCACCACCCCCTGCTGCAAACAACCGTATGCCGCCAGTCCAACCACCACCAATGTATGCCAACAGAGGACCCATGGCTAAAAACGAAGCTCCTCCAAGAATCATACCAATTGCAGCTCTAAATCCCTATCAAGGTAGATGGACAATTAAAGCCAGAGTAACTTCAAAAGGTGAACTCAGACGTTACAACAATGCAAAAGGAGATGGAAAAGTTTTCTCATTTGATCTTCTTGATTCTGATGGAGGAGAAATCCGAGCCACCTGTTTCAATACAGTAGCTGACACTTTCTACAACCAAATTGAAGTAGGAAAAGTTTACTATCTCTCAAAAGGAACCCTAAAACCTGCTCAAAAAGCCTTCAATCATCTCAAAAACGACTTTGAAATCACCCTCGACCACACCTCGACAGCTCAGCAATGCTTCGATGATGACACCTCAATTCCACATCAGCAGTTTCACTTCTGTTTAATCAGTGAAGTTGAAGAAATGGAAAACAACACTGTTCTAGATGTTATTGGTGTTGTAACCAATGTCAACCCCACATCATCAATCACAAGAAAAAACGGAAATGAAGCTCAAAAAAGAACAATTTTTTTAAAAGACATGTCTTTAAGAAGCATTGAGTTGACTTTATGGGGTGACTTTTGCAACAAAGAAGGTCAAACACTTCAAGAAATGTCTGATTCAGGTGAATTTCCTATCCTTGCTGTGAAATCAGCTAGAGCATGTGATTTCAATGGAAAAACATTAACAAGTATAGTATCAAGCCAGCTCAGCATAAACCCTGATTTCCCAGAAGCTCAAAAACTCAAAACATGGTTTGAAAGTGTTGGAAAAAACACCCCATCTGTATCCATGTCACTCAATTCTCTTTCTACTTCTTCCACACATCCAGATTCATTCAAAACTATCTCTCAAATCAAAGATGAAAAACTCGGGACTTCTGAAAAACCTGATTACATAACAATCAATGCCACAATCTGGCATATGAAACTTGAAAACTTTTACTACACTGCATGTCCAATCATGGTAGGTGAAAGAAAATGCAGCAAAAAAGTTGTGGATAATGGAGATGGGAAATGGAAGTGTTTGAAATGTGATAAGGTTGTTGATGAATGTGAATACAGATATATTTTACAACTAGAAATCCAAGATCATACTGGGTCAACATGGGTAACTGCTTTTCAAGAAATTGGTGAGGAGATTATGGGGTTTTCTGCTAAAGATTTGCATGATATGAGATATGAAGAGCAAGATAATGATAAGTTTACTGAAACTGTTCGTGGTGTTCTTCATAATGAGTATTGTTTTAAGTTGAAAGTGAAGGAAGAGAGTTGGGGTGATGAACAACGTGTGAAATCGAGTGTTGTGAAAGTTGAAAAGATAAAGTTTTCATCAAGCACAAAGGTTAGACTTTTGGAGATTGAAAAGAATGGGTTGGGTTCTGGTGCTGACCGAACTGCCCGTTCTGAGATCGGGCAGGGGCAGGGAGGTGTTTTGCCTGCGAATCAGGTCGGTCATTGTGGTGGTGGAATTGGTGTTGCATATGGTGTTTATTAACTTTAAAGGTATGTAATCAATATTGATGCAAATTTATACACATATGTAACATATTGGGATTAGCCTTTGTGATTTTTAAGGATTTATATGCATGATATGACAAAATTAGTTTATATTTGAAAGGTTTAATGACATAAAAACCCTTTAGTTTAGCAGAAGTCCTCGGTTTTACTTTTACCCTTTTACGTATTTTTGGTTCATGAAAGCCTGAGATTTGCAACTTTATTTTCAATTTTACCCTTTTTGCAGTTTTATGGAGTAAAATCTAATAAACCAGAAAAGAGGGTAAAACTGAACATTTCTGCAAAACTTAAGAGCTTTAATGAACTAGAAATATGCAAAAGGGTAAAATTGAAAAAAAAGTTGCGAACTTCTGGCTTTAATGAACCAAAAATACGTAGAAGGGTAAAACCAAACATTTTTGCTAAACTTAAGGGCTTTTATGCCATTAGCCCTATTTGAGAACACGAACTTCAATAACTCTTAGGTGATGTTTCTTTTTGACTTAATGGGTTAAGCACTTAATCTAGACATCTATATATGGTTGTTTCCTTTTGACTTAGAGTAAATTACATGAAAGGTCCCTATGGTTTGAGGTAATTTGCACGCTTGGTCCCTAACTTATTTTTTTAACTCGGAAGGTCCCTAATGTTTGTTTTTATTATGCGCTTGGTCCTGTCTTACCAAAAAATACTATTATTTAAATAGGGAAAAATGGTGGGGTAGGTAAGGTAAGGTGATGGGGTGGGGTTGAGGGTGTGTATATTTAAATAAATTAAAAAATCAAGGGCAAAATAGTATTTTTAGGTAAGACAGGGACCAAACGTGTAACAAAAACAAACAATAGGGACCTTCCGAGTTAAAAAAATAAGTTATGGATCAAATGCGCAAATTACCCTAAACCATAGGGACCTTCGTGTAATTTACTCTTTAGTTTTCTTCTTTAGTCAAACACCATTGGTTATTTCTTCACTAGGGACATAAAGTATTAAGTTTTTTGTTTTATGAATGCAGATCTTTGTTGTGATAATGGCTCAATTTAGGTTTTTGAAGATTGGGGTGAAGTTTTATGTTTATGACATATGTGCCCTTGGAAGCAAGACATGGATCTTGAAGTAGATGTTTTTTTGTGTCTTTTGTTTTGGTAAATGTTTTCTATTTTACTCCTAGTAGTTTTCCAGTACGATAGTTGTTATTTTATCTTGTAGAATTGGTTGTGTTCAGTTGTTTAATTTTTTGATTACTATCTTTAATTTTGCATGGATATGTATATATATGTTAAGATATCTTTTTATTTTTACTTTTTTTTAATTTAATTATTTATTAAGTGTTGTCTGAATGAAGTGATGTATGGATAGATGTCTAAAGATTATTTGAGAAAATGATGAGAAGTTGTTGAAATGAAAGGAAATGATAAATGAGATAATTTTTTTGTTTTCCCGCTTTTATCTTTCTACTAATGCTGTTGATCTAAATATTCTCCTATCTTTAAGTACATTTAAAATATTTTCTTCTAAAGTAATTAATTTAACCACGTTTAAAGGATTTGCTTTTTTTTTGTAAAATTTTCTGTAGTATTTTCATATGATTTGTTGTTTTTTAAAATATTTATTTTTTAAAATGTATTTAATAATAACATTGAATAAAATCAATATATTACAACACAACAAAAAGTAAAATATATATTGTTAAATATAGAGTCTAAATTTTGTTTTTGTTTTGTTGCATAATATTATGATTATAATAAAAAAAACAATAAATTATACTATATATTAAAAAGCAAAGTTCATTCATAATGAACTTCGAAGTTTTGCCACCATATTCCACCATTTTAAGACTTTTGCCATAAAGCTTTTTAATTTTGAAGTTTTGACACAATTGTTTTGGATTTTGACAGACTTAGCTCTCGTAACTTTTTAATTTATAGAAAAGGTCCGTATGATTTTTATTATTATTATTTTTTAGAGCAGTCTATTTGTGTAATATTTTGTATGTTGGTAAGTTTGATTAGGGGTGTTCGTTTGGATGGATCGGTTTGATCCGATCCAATCAAGTGAATCCAAATTGATTTCGGTTTTCAAAACATAGATCCGAATAGTCCAAACTAAATTCAAATCCGATCCGATCCAATTCAATTACAATTCGGTTGGATTGGTTTTTATAATTCGGTTTTCAAAAACCAAAACATTTTAAAACGACATATAATAATAATATTACCCAACTTTACACAAGAAGCGAATTTTTTTTTTAGTTGTGATTTGAAATTTATAAACAATTACTAAGAAGATATATTATAGTTAAATATTTTATAGATAGAAAACTTTTGAGAGAAAATGCATATTAATGTTTTATGCTCGGGTGAAACGTTTTGAACCTATTTGAAAAAATAAATTACACAATTAATAAATAACTATAGATATATATTATAAATAAATAAATAATAAATGTTTATTCGGTTTTTTTGGACTATTCGGTTCTTATTTTATAAACCAAAACCAATCCAAAATCCAAAATAATAATTCGGTTTTGTTGAAAACCAATCCAAAAATCATAATATCCGAACCAAATAGTCCAATCTAAATTGTCCAATTGGACAATTCGGTTTTATCCAAATAGTGAACAGCCTTAAGTTTGATTCCTATAAAGAAAATAAATTACAAAAATTGTCCCTGCAATTAACAAAAAAAAAGGACATTGTTTATTTTTTTTAAAGAAATGGTCCCTTTGTTTAAAAAAATTACAAAAATAGTCCTTATCTTATAGAAAATCTGTAGATTACCCTCCACGCCCCTGCAATATATTGCCATATTTCATCCCTACACCTTTTTGGTTTAACAATTTCGCCACATGACCTTTGTATATTTGTAGGTTTCCTCCTTACACTTTTGGCGTTATGCAAAACCCCGCATGCGTCTCCCGTGGAGCGGGGTGTGGGCAATTTCTAGTATATATTATTATAAATTAAATATTTACTAATGGAGATCAAAATAAAAAAAATATATTTAAAATAATCAAACTTTGCACAAAAAAATAGACTCAAAAGTCATTCCATAAATATAAATGGTTGATATTATTGACCTAAAAGCCTGGTCACTCCGGTTAGAGAAAAAAATATTTTTTGGGTTAGATCATTATCGGTATTTAGTATTCGATTTCTTGAAAAACCTCAAGGTGCAATTACAAAAAATTAAGTATGGAAATCAGTTTTTTTTTTTTTTTTTTTTTTTTATTGATTTTTCATTTTAAATGCAAGTCATATATGACTAAAGAGCGGTTTTGAACAGTAAAATTAAATCGTTAGTTCAAGAAATTTATCGTTTATGTTACCACTCTCTAGCACATCAATCCTTACCATATAAAAGGAAGGGGATCCCTAGTAAATTTTATAAAAAATGAAAAAGGTAGTTGTTGAATGTCATGCTTCTTAAAGATGGAGGCTGGTTATAAATTGTTGGTTTAAGACCGTTGAAAGTGGCGGTAGCATGAAGCATCTAGATTAAATATGAACCTACTATCAATTTTGTAGTTTTTAGTTTAAAACTAACGCTTATCAATAAACTATATTAAACTAGTTTATCAATTAGTTAGCTTTATAAACTACGATAAACTATAAACACCAAAATTACAATAAACCTTCTTTTAAATTGAAACTAGCTTGTTTTTAAAAAGACATAGACAAACCTGGTTAGGAGAAAAAGACATAATCAGAATCTGGAGACGATGAAGATGAATAAAAGGACATAGACGAACCCGGTTAGGAGAAAAAGATAGAATAGAAACTATTGGTATAACACAATGAGCTAATGCTATAAATATGTAACCCACTTTCAAACGTTTAGACTGAAATCATTTGAGAAAAAAATTACTATATATTTTTAGCTTTTTGCCGGTAAAAAGCATTGAAATAAAAAGTCAAACATTTTTCAAATGACTTTAATCGAACAGAAAAGGACTGTATTTTTTTTTTTTTTTTTTTTTTAAATTGCTGAAAAAGTCTTGTGGTGTATTCTTTTATTTGTTTACATAGTCCATAATAACATAACATGTTGATGATTCTATACACTATCGATGTGCACATATAGGCATGTCGTAATAGGTCCAATATTTTTGCATACCGGTCCAATATTTTTTTTACTCCAAATCGGTCCAGCCGGTACAAACCAGTCTTGTGTGAAGAATGGAGCTGTCCACACCGGTCCAACCAACTAACAAACTGGTATAAATTGAGGCTAACATCTATTTTACAACATTTGGTTTTTCCCCACCTTAAAATCACCATTTAAATAACATTTAATACCCAACCATACTTCTCACTTTAAACTCTAATTCTCTCTAGATTTGCATAAAATTCTAACAAATACAAAGCTTGAAGTTTCGAATAATACCCAATTGGAAAATGTTGAGAGCGGAAGGAAGTAGCACTTCATTTTTTGTCCGAACATATTATTTGAGGAAGCTAGCAAATCAAACAGCAGTGCGGCAATTTGGAATAAGTTTATGCAACTTCGACAACTAAATAAATTATTCTGTAGATGCAATCAGTGTGAAAAAGTTTATGTCGGCTTGAATAGCATGCTATAACGACATGTTGTAAGTTTTCGTGTTTTATATCTCGCATAAATACTTTGTTATGCTTAAGTCGTTTAGTTTATTTTATAAGTAGTTTAATTAAATTTATAAATAGTTTAGTTTATTTATGATTCATTTAGTTTACTTATAATTAGTTATTTGCATTACGTAATTCAATTATTAGTTTCAATTGCGATATAATAAGGAGATTGGTGTCTATAATGGTCACAATCAGTTTGGTAATTGGAATTTCACAAAATATAGTCTTGACTTACCATATTTTTCTTCTTAGTCAAAAAATATTATGTTGAAACTAGTAAGTGATCAATGCAATGGAATTGACTAATTATAAATTAAATCAAACTATTAAATTATTGATAACTAAAGTAATAACTTAGGTTTAGTTTTATTAATAACTGTATTACATGAGTTTATTTCAAAGAAAAACTAAATACAAATTCTAAACATTTGAGAAGTTTGAATTTATAAGAAAAATGAGAAAATATTGAATTATAAAAATTACAATGTTTTTTTTTTAAATTTAAACAAATAAATAAAGAAAATTAATGAATCTTTAATTTAGTAATTTTGAAATTCGAAGGAAAGTTCATTAATGAAATTGATATGCATTTATTATTGCATTTAAATACTATCTAGAATTTAATAAAACGAAAAACAAAATCATAAAATGACACGTGGAATAAAAATTAATTTAAAATAACCACAAAATTATATGTGACAAAATAAATAAGAATGTGACATGTGACAAAAAAATCTTTATTTATTAGAGATACTTTTGTTTACTTTAAAATTATTGGGTTTCATGTGAAAAGTAATATGACGATGCAATGGCTACTCAACTGTTACTAAACTGTCTAAACACAAGTAGATAATGATTCCAAATTTCCAATTGTTAGTTGTAACAAGAAGTAGATTCTGGCTTCTAATGGATTATATGTATTTACTTCGGCCCTTGGAATTCTTAGCCCATAAGTTGTTAAGCTTAAGAAGTTGTGAAGCCCAAATTCTTATAGAATAGAAATTTATTTAAAAATAAATTAATTTGTTGGTCAATAACTTAAAAAAATTTAAGTTTGATGCATAAAAAAAATATAACGCATATATTGGAATAATAATTTACTTCGAAAAAAGAATGCATATTTTTGTATTTCTCTTGATCTTTTGGATTTAAATAGATGGAAAAAAGTTGGTTTATTTAATGAGAATATTCTGTATACGTATTTATTAAACATAGTCGAACCTATTTTCTAAATATTATATTTGCTTTTCTTATATTTTCAAAATATCAAATTTACCTAAATCTTTTTTATTAACATTTGTTAATATTCTACATCATTTTAAACCCTTATTTTTTTTAATCAATCGATTATTATATCCTTTTATAAATTTAATTTCTATAATTTTTTAAAATAACATATTTACTCAAATTACAAAAATTATGTTTAACTGTAATCTAACTTTTCTAAAAATATGACTGCTATCATCCTAATTCTTTTAGCCGGATAAGTTGACGACTCGATGTGTCATTGTTAAAGTCTCCACATCCAAAGCTCACTATTCCAGACCGCTAATGCATTATATACTTGTACATTATACAAAACAGTTGTACATCTTCACAAACTAGAAGATCCAATCTTGTTAGAGTGATAATATTAATGTTTTTAATCAAAATT